AAAAAAAAACTTGTACATTTCACAAATATTTCATTTACTGTGACCACGGTTGTCATTTATCACAATTAGCAATATCTATCCAAGTTAGACATTTTAAACCAGGCATTACTAGTAGTATTTTTGAAAATGTTTGTATATTATTATTATCGAACTGCGTATGAAACCCACATGTTATTCTTTCTGTAAAATAGTCAGGTATTCTACAGAGGAATTCAATCTTTCAAAGCTTGCCATAAAATAGGATAACTTGTATTTCAAGCCATTAGGTCCAGATTGTTCTTTGGTTTGTTTGTTTGTTGTCTGCGCTAGCAGTCCCTAATTTAGCAGTGGAAGACTAGAGGGAAGGCAGCTAGTCATCCCCACCCACCGCCAACTCGGTTCGAACCCGCGACCCACAGATTGCGAGTCGAGTGCCCTAACCACCTGGCCATGCCGGGCTTGTTCTTTGGTTTGTTTATTTATTATTAAGCACAAAGCTACACAAAGAGCTATCTGTGCTCTGCCCACCAAGGGTATCGAAACCCGGTTTCTAGCAGTATAAGTCCACAGACATACCGCTGTGTCACTGGGGGCGTTGTTCTTTGGACGCCACAGAAATAGATTGAACGACAGAAGCGATAAATGATCATACAAAAGAGTGAAGACTCCAGATTCCTTTTACAGCAGATCACGAGAGAATTGTTTGTGTTCTTTACAAAACACAAAAGATGGCTGTGTTATATTCCCTACATGTTCAAAGTGATGAAACTTCCCAACGTACTCCAAAAGGATTTATAGGTCTGGAGATTTAGCATGAAAAATTCAAGGTGGAAAAAGACTGAAGCACGCGATATGACTTTGGACATTCTGTAGTTGTCTGAAGAATATCAATGGTCACAGATATGGGTGTATACCAACTGAATCAGATTTGATAGAAGAGTTAGCACACGGAATCACATATAAAAGGTGCAATGGAATTCAAAAATTGACCCAAAACTCGAGTGTTTTCGAATAGCTGATGATTTTTCTGCAGGAGAATAAAGAAAGTTACAGCTTCCACAACTGAATCAGATGGCATCTATACACAAGAGCATCTATCTGAAAACCCTATGGATTACTAGCGAAAGAAAGGGAGGATATTATCCATGCAAAGATTTAGGCCTGCCATGTTTCAAACAAGGCTTACCCTCTTTGGATTCAACATAACAATTAGGTTTATCCAATTATATTAGCTTAACAGGTGCAAAGGTGCTGGACTTACTGTGACCCAACATCAGTGATGTGGTTCCTGAAACTCAATAAAATACTGACAGTCTCAAAAAATCAGGTGGTGGGGATGCAAAAACATCGATCATACATCTTTTCAGATCATTCCAATAACTTCCAACCTTTTTAGGATAATGTGAACAAATTATAAGTTTACAAAGAAATTCAGATAGTGGACGAACTTTACATCTTATAGACACTTGATATTTCTGAAATTTGTTAGTTCTAACTTTGAACCCGATAAATCTTATAGGAACAAGCCATAAAAGTCTTATAATTTATTAATGTGATTGGTCCATTAGGGAGATTGTAGATCATTAAAATAATTTAGTTGTTTTTTACTACCCATCGTGTACTTACTTCACGTGACAACCACAACCATTATAAAACCATGGTGGAACAGATGTATAATAACTACATTTTGATATTGTTTGACGTTTCCTCATGGGGAAAGGTATGCAACAGCTGTTTCCAATGCAAAATATTAATACGCTCAAATCATAAATATGTTTGCAGATCAAGGACTTAGAATTTCCAAGACAGAGATATCTCTTGTACTTAGTGGTATAAACAAATGGATCAATTTGGGACCCAGGATTATACAGAAAAAGACATACAGCAAGTAGTACCTCAGCTGTGGTATGTAAAGTGTGGCATTTTGTAACAGGTAGGTATAGATGAACAAAACATCAGCAGCAAACGCCATCTACGTGCCCTAGACAACAGTACACAGCA